AGAATGACTAAATATTTTATAACATATAGAAAATCATGACGAAGAGTCGTTAATTATGGAAATTTTTTAAAGATTTCGAAATGTTTATCAAAGTACAAAATTAATTTTAATATTTTATAAGAAATTTTTATGCATGTGTTAATACTACATATATTAGTTTAAATGCTGATTAAACCTTTTTATTTTTTAGATGAAAATTTAAATTTATTTGAATTAGATATAGATGCTTATGTTAGTTTGAAAATTTTCACCAAGTTCTAGTATAATATGCGAAGTTTCTAATGAAGATACAAACTTGGATTTTTACGAAATCTTTTGAAATATTTAATTCATTGTATTCATTGTTGTACGATTTATAGAAAATACACCCCACATTTGCTTAAGTCAATACAATTATAACGAATAGATTTTATTGATAATTAAAATTAAATTTACTATATATTACTATTAATAATTACACTAATTTTTATTAATTAAAGTGAGAATATATATAAACATAATGACAATTACTTTTTTATGAAATAAAAATGATTAAAAATACTTATCGATAAAGTTTACAATTCTTTTTCCTAAAAATTTATTTATAGAAAAAAAATGTAATTTTTTAAAATCGCAATTTTGTCAAATCGCATTCAGAGCAGTTTTATATTTTTCATTGATTATGTATTGGCATTTATCGATTTCTGTGTCAATAACATTGATTGATAAACTCGTTATATTTGAGCAATGAATAGAGCATTTTTCTTGTCGGAATATATTATATCATTTTTACTCTATATTTCAGCGATTTTATTAGTTAGCATTCAATGAGAATGCCTTTTAAATCATACATAAAACTGCGAAGATTCAGTTATTAATTATGCGTGTATCTCCACATCAGTTCAACGAACTCTGGCAGGATTAATTTAGTAAATTCAACTTCTTTCAACCAGATTTAACCTGGAAAACCTCAACTTGAAATTGAAATAAAGAATCAAAGTGACAAATTTAATTGTGCGACACACTAACAAAAAAACATTCTAATTGCTTCTGACTAATATTTAAAGAGGTTGAAATAAAATTGATAAAATATCACTCAAATAAAAAAGAAATAAAAATAAGATCAAAAATAAGAAATAAAATATCGGAAAGAAAAATATCGAAAATAAAACACTTTAGTGCTATTATAAAAAAATCTCCCATAATTATTTAGATATTTTAAAAGAGCAAACATTTTCTAAAAAAATGTATCTTTTTTAATAGCTAAAATAAATTTTTGTTGGAATAGTCTGACAAATAGCACTCGAGAACATTAAAGCCGAATTAAATGTGTTTCTGTATATAACTGTAAGCATAGCTTTATGCAACTACATGAGAAATTTGTGAGTCCAAGAGGGACGATGGGATCGCGGACGCGTATTTTCGTAATAAACACGGCGTGTGACACGTTTTGGGCGCTCGCGAAAGCGGAAAAAGCGCGCGATAGCGCGAAAAAAGCCGGCGGCGTCGGGTCGACGAACTTGCGTAGGATTAATTTGGCATGCGTTCGTAACTTCCTTCAGCGAGACTTAACCCCGCGCGATCCCCGCGACTTGACACTCGAGCGAGATATAAGAGTGTCTGGAAATGAGAGCGCGTGGCGGTTAAAAAGAAGCGGCTCGTCGGCCGCTCGAAATCCAGAATTAAATCTCTCTCGCGGAGAGCCGAGGTGGCGAAATTAATTTGCGCAATCATTCGCGCGTGATTGAACGGTCACGCTTTGCGTGAACCCCCTCGATCCAGATACGCGCGATTGCCATAATGGCGAATTGCACGCGCATTCGCGCTGCGAGATTACATCCCCGAGGGGGATGACTTGAAACAGAGACCATCGATTTTGCTCTCGTGCGAGCCCGGGGGATAATTGCATCTTTTTCCCTCTCGCGAAAATGTCTGTGACACTGAATAAGCTGCGCGTTATTACGTCAGGGTCGACGGGGTGCCTCCGACAGAGACTAGCGAGGGCGATAAATATCACTCAAACGAACGAAAAATCTTCGTTTCTCTTGCCTTCATTTTACCTTAACTTCGTCGAGAGCTCCATCCTTCTCCATGTTTCTTTTTATTCCCTTTTTCGCTTCTCCCGCGCTTTCATCACTTTTCTTCATGCCTGTCTTTCTATAGTGAATGTTAAACGCTGTCATACTGCTGCAGGCTGAAAAATGAGGAGCGACGATGCACTCGTTTAGATGCTATTATTATTATCGTAAAATCCTCCCATGTGAAAAATATTATAAAAAATGCATAAATTATTGTACACGGTTTACATATTAGAGAGCACCATGATAAAGATAAAAAGATCGATCTTCTGTTAAAAAGAAAGAAGCTCCAAATTGTACATAGCATCTCAAATTAAATAATTTTAATATTGTATATAAATTATAACGATGCTCGCATATTATTTTTTTAATTATAATTGCAAATTTATTATAAAAAAAGTTAGAAAGACTGGAATAATTATGAAAATAAAGATTCTTCGAGAGAAGATAAAAATTATTCTTCAACAATAATAATACTGTCATAATAAAACGCTCTTTAATCTTATATCTTGTATGAGATAAATGAAATCTTCATAATGGCTCTCGCACATATGGAAACTTTTTTTAATGAAAAAAGAACTTGTTGAGAAAATATCACTCTTTCCCGAGATCTTCATTACATTAAAAATTTTCATTTTTGCAATCTACATATTACAATATCATTTTTATGACCGAGTATTTAGCTTCGGGGGTCTTTCGTCTCGAAACGAATCGCGAACGTCTCGTTTTCTCTATCTCTCGTTCTTTTTCTTCTCGTTTCCCTTTCTGCTGCTCTTTCCTCCCCCTGGATACCGTCATGCAACGAACGGCAGGTTCAACGAACCCGAGGTGACGTGACACCACCATGTCGGGAATTTATTATCTGAATCCGTTGTCCAACGACCCTCGTCTTTTTTTTTTCGCGCGCGCCGCGATTCGAGCGCGTTCTTGGCTTAGTTTCTTCCCGATTTCGCCGACGCGCCGTCATCATGTGGTCACGGATGACGTCCCGCTACGCTGTCGATTTTTTTGCGATGGACGCTTGTCACGCGTGACTCTTGTATCGCCACGACCGAATGAGTGCATGCTTTACGCAAGTGTTTTATCGTTACGAGTTCGTTACCATTATCTCTCTAATGATAAAAAAAAACCCTGAGCACTATATAAAACATTTTAGTCATGAAGAACAGATGGAGAGATGACGCAATTTCGTAAAAGCGCCTGATATTTTACATGTCCGTATTTTATAAAAAACAATAAAGTATCATGATCCTGTTTGCCACCTTACGTTATAACTTTTATATTGTGCTCTGTTTGTTTCTATATTTTTTGTTAAAACGGCTATATTTTTAATTAAAATGTGATAAACAGTCTTTATTTCGCAGGAGATTTTACTGCAAACGTTATTAAATTATTTTTGTAAATATTATGATTGTTACGATTACTATTTCATATTATAAAAATTTATCGATGCTAATATTGACTTATTAGAGACTATATATATATATTATATATATACTTATATATACTTATTAGAGACTTATATTGACTATATATTAGATATTATTGACCTATATATAAATTCTGTGAGATGAGATTATAGATATCATTTTCATAGATATCTTATTTAGATTCTTCTTATCTTTAACAAGATTGGTGAATCCGCATTGAAATTCTTAATCGGGAAGAATTAATTGTGTAAAATCACTAAAATAAATATTTTCTATTTTAAGATTAAACTTTTGATAATAAAAATTTTCTTCCAAATTGAAACAAATCGAACAAATTTGTTTATAAAATTTTATTATTCTTTCTAAGTGTCTTGATCGCGAAAACAATTTTATCGATTTTTTTTAACCGTTTCGAAACGTATCTTTTTTCGGAAGTTACATCTATGTTTTATAAAGTTTCTATTTGCAACTTTATTGCAAATTCCAAATGTCAGTCATAATAGATATATCAAAAGTTATAGTTTTCCAACGTCGTGTTTAAGAAAAGACCTAAGAAATCTTAGAAGAGTAATATATGTCGTCATATTATCAATGATATAAATCAAGGATCATCAAATATGGACATGTATAATTAATGTCATGCTAAGAAGGTAACGCGAGCGGAATTTTGAATCGTGATTCTTGGGGAATAAAAGACAGGTGAGACAAAAGAGAAAGATTCTCCAGCGACGTCGTACGAGTCTCTTCGACACTGCAAAATGCCATTTCTCGCCAGGCTTAATTGGCGTCGCGGAATAACTCCCATGAGACGTCATTGTTATTATGAAGCTCGCTGTTCGCGAGCTCGTGCTCTCGTGTGGCTCGAGTGAACGCCTGCCTAGGAGCCACGTCACTTTGCTTTAACGACTCCACACGGATCCCACGACCGATTGTGAGTAAACTATACAGACGACCGAAATTCGTCTACCTAAATGCGCTAAAGTGAACTTTTATGGGATATTCGTGAATGCTTCGCGGAACGTTAAATTAGGGTTAATCTCGTTAGCGCCGTATCTCCGATAAAAACGTCGCGACGTTCAACACACTTTTTTTTTTTTTACGAACGTCGTATGGTAGAGCTATATAGATCTGGAGAATATAATTAACACATTTAGCGCCGACGATAACTCCGTAGTTTCGCTTGCAGAGTCTGTGCTAATGGTTTGCTGCAACCACGCGAAAAGCAAGAGAAGAAAACGGCCAATAGCGAATACGTATAAATTTCGAAATTTTATTACAGTCGAATAAAAAATTACATGAAAAGAGGACGTTCGAAGAAACCTAATTCCGGTTCGAATCTTCGTTTTATATTACATTAAAGCTGCGATTATTTAAAAAGGAATTTCTTTATTATTCATATAGATGTATAAATTATTTTATTTTTTATGCGTATTTTATATTGGAAAATATAAGGTAGAAAGATTAACACGGAGAAACTCTCTCTTCTGAACATGCGACATTTTAATGTTTGCAGAGTGGAAAGCTCAGCGCTGCAATTGGTGTGCCCGCTGGATTCTCGTCCGGTGCAGCTAATCTTCCGAGGATTACAGGTGGTCAAGGAGAAACGAGCGCTCCTTCGAGATGTTTCGGGAGTCGTCAAGCCGGGAGAATTACTGGCCGTCATGGGCCCTTCAGGTACGGACCATCTCTTGTACCAGCTGATTTCGCATATTAAATCTCGTGACACGCATAACATCTCAACCGTGTTACCACCTATATTTAATAATCATATAATTTTTTCTCACTTTGTTGGATTATATATTTTAAATATCTATTTAATTATCTATTTAAATATTTAGAATATTATAAATGTGCGTTTAAATACATTTTTTAAAATATGAATAGTTCATTGGGCAAACAAATGGGATGAACAAATACGTAATAAATTGTACGTTATATTTGTTTGGGTATAAAAGCCGATGCGTTAAAATTAATTAACAACAGCATGAGTGTTGTATAAATTTAACGCATATATCCAAAGCTAAATTTTCGTGTATAAATTTGCATACATATATTTCGTGTCTATTAGAATGTTAATTGTGCAATGGATGCAATATGTAGTTTCGAATTTATAATTTATACTAATATATTCCTGCAGCGATTCTATCTTTTTTATCTCGCCTTATCCTTGCAAGGGTATATAATATAATTACGAATATTTTTCTATACTTCACGTTGTTTCTCGCGAATTTTAATCGCGCGATGTTGCGTGGACGTCGCATGGAATTAAATCTGCATTTCTATCTTTAACCGCTTTTATGCGCACAGCAGTGAAATATGTACCAGCCGGCAATTTCATCCGACTGGAATATTTATCGTTACACGGTGAGAAAGTCTGTTCGCGATCGTTTTCGATGCATCGTGCGTATGCGTCACACGTGCGTTTATAAGAAATTTCTCAATCTTAATGATACATTTCGTTAATTAAATTTCGGCGTTACTTTTCTAACGCGAAGGATAAAACTGAGACTATGTCGGTACCTGAAAATTTATGATTTCGAGCGTGAAAATTCGAACAATGTAGAGCTGCTAGAAATTTAAAAATATGACACAAAAACTAGGCAAAAAAATCTCTCTTTCATTGGGATATAAAATATATGTATCGTAGAGATATAAAATATGTGTATCGTAACTCACATCCACATTAATCAAGAATATTTTGTCTAAGTTATACGACTTTACATAATAATTTCTTGTAACTCATGTACAAATAATGTTTAACATGACGCGACGCGTGAAAGATATATTCGCTGAAACATAACGATGCTTATACGAAGGCGCTAAATTTTTGTCTGGCATATTTGTTACGCAGGCTGTGGTAAAACAACACTGCTGAACTGTTTGTCCGGCCGTGTTGGCTTGGACGGCGGTGAGATTTGGTTGAATCGCGAGAGGCTCACCAAACGATGGCGCAGAAGAATCTGTTATGTGCAACAGCAGGACGTTTTTTTTCCCGATCTCACCTTACGACAGACACTCGAGGTAACGATAAGATAAATTGATATTATGATGAGCAAACTTAACACATTCGATACACGGTTATTTCAAACCTTTAAGGATCAAATTTTGATTTCGCTTCTTTATAGATTTAATCTTAATAGATATAAATAATTTGATATAGAATTTAATATATAGATAATATAATAATATAATATAATATAATATAGATAATGATATGTAGATAATAGATTTAATATATAATTTAATATATAAATTTAATGTAATCTATTGTAAATTCAAAGACCTTTAAGTTGAATTTTTAATTTGTGCCAGATAATTTATTTGTATACATCCAAAAATTTAGAACAGACGTACGATATAAAAATTAATGCAAGTATGCGCAAAACTGCATCATTTGAGACGGGACAATCGCTGTGGATGCATTTCCTATACTCGTATCACGAAATAAGAGACAAAACGATCTATGGAATAAGAGGCACAACGATCATAGATTTCCTCATTTTCCTCGAAAATACAGGCACCAGGCGTGTGCCAAGACAGTCGCGCGCCTTTCACTCGATATTCATCACGACCCACGCGTGCACGGTAGGCGGGAATTAGGAGGACACCCTGCGCGCAAAGATCGCGGAGAATGCAAATGCGGGCTAGAAGCCAACGCGCTCCGTCGCCGTTGCACTTGGGGGATTTAAGAGGCCTCGTGGAAAATGGACGCGGACAAATATGTGCTTTGTCGTTTAGTCACTAATTGAATAAATGTGTCGGTAGATGCGCGCGTGCGTGTACGTGTGCGTGTATGATGTGTAATACGCGCGAGCGCGGGTACATCGAGAAGAAAGGAATCGCGTAACAAGCTGGCACATGACTTTTTCTGCTTGTGAGGAAAAATATATATTTGATATTTTTTAGTTTATATTTTTCGTGGCGTTTGAAACTCTTTTTCTATTTTTAACCGCGTATGAATTGAAAATATATAATAAAATAATAGAAATATATAGAAAATATAATAGAAATATAGAAATATAGCAAAATTGAAAATATGACGAAAAAGTATATAATATGATTATTTCTCAATAATTCTGACGATATAATTAGAGATTGTGTACAATAAAATAATTGGTGATTTTTGAGATAATCACAATAATCATTATACAATTAATTATGTTACAAGTAGATTCAAAAGGATAATTAATATTAAAATAAAAGATGAATAGATAAATGTATTTGTTCTATACTGACACGCTTGTAAAGATATCTCTAAGAATATATTATTCTGCAAAGTTTAAAATGTTTTAATTTTTAATATTTTATATTTAATTTCTCTAATACACAAAAATAAAAAAAAAACATGAAGAAAAGAAAGATTAATGAATAACACAAAATTTAACGAAATGCGAGATTTATTTTTTCATCGCCATCGCGCAGCCACTTAATCAAGAGCCAACATTAAGTTAAATGGACCCATTGATCGATGATTAAAAGAGACAAAACTCCTATCTCTCGGCTCATTAAAGTCGCATACGATAGGTACAAAGAGAGAGAACGAGAGAGGAGCGTGTCACGTGCGGCGCCCACTCACGTACCCACCTATCTGTACTCTATCTACCTACGCGGCACGCGCGTGTCACACGCGGAACGCGGCGACAAGGGGCTTGCTCTCGCAACGAACTGTCGTCGTGTCGTCGTTCGTCTAGTCGCGACCCGTTAGCGGGACATCAGGGGGACACGGGCCAGCGGTGCCGGGAGAGCAAGGACCGTATCTCGCGATGACGTCATAACTCGGTCAGTGAACCGCCAAGCTCGCGACGTGCGTCTTACGGTTTCAGAAACATTTGGCGCCGCCTCTCACGCACGCACGCACGCATACCGCACGCGTGTGGAACGGCACGTCTCTCGATGCGGTGCTCGCGCGGCCCGCTTCTTTCAACGGGATGACACTTTCTCTCCCGCAGCCTCTCCTCTCCCAGGAGGACTTCTTTCCCGACCGCTTCCTCTCTCTTTCCGCGCGCCGGTTTCGCTTCTATTATCTAGTCGCGAGCAACACGTTCTGTACTTGACGGAGGATCTGGAGTCTTGAACATCAATCTGATTTTACGCTCAACCTTTAACCCGAAATAATCGAGAGACAGATTGCCCTGTTCCTGCTAAAGTTGCGAGGTTCTCTATTCAAACACTTCATCATAATTTATGATATTTTATTTAATATTCAATTTAATCCGATACGTGCGACATATAAATTATAAATATTAATTATTAGATAAGTTAAAGAAGTTGATTGAAATTCAGTTAAAAAAAAGATAAAATCGTGCTGTTTATTTATATCTGTAAAGATTGATTGTTAAAGATTCTAAAAATAGATAAACCGGAGGAGACCGGAAGAGGTCTCGCGGTCCAGTTCTATAGCCGGGTGTATTGTAGCGTTATCTTTATTTAGACATAACTGGTGTTCTCAGAGAGTATAATATCATCGGCCGCACTTTCTCTCTCCGCATAACGGGCCCGCTTGTGTAACGGCACGAGGAGAATGAACGTTGAGAAACGGCATGTCGTCGTCGCCGGGTCTCTATATCCGTACATGCCGTTGATCCACAACATCATCGTACCAAATTCCGATGACACATTTTTCAACGGATTTAGAATTGACGTTAGCTTAGCGAGGAAGGTTTTTTTTCTCTCCAATTTTTTCGTACTTTTATACAACTTTAATAATTTTTGTAATTAATTGTCTGTGACACTTCTTAAGAGTTTGCCAAAATTACATTTTATACATGTAAATTTATACACCATTAATTTACTTATATTAATATAATTTTATATTAATATTACTTATATCTCATGTTTATATAAATTTTAGACAAATTTAATCACGGGGTTAGTGCTCTGAAAAATAATCAATAGAGACAATATTTTATTATCAAGTGATTTCGGATTAAAAATAAATCAAATTGAATAATACAATTGATTTATCGAAGAAATATACGTTAAGACATGAAAAATTTACAGTAAGATTAATGAAGATAGATTGTTATTTGAAAAGGAAGAACGTAATTTGTTGTATGAAAAAATAGAAACTATATCATATTACCAATATATTTTCTGGTAACTTGATTTATTACTTAATTGTGAAGAAGACAGCAAATTTTGAGAAAGGTCACAAATTATCTAAATGGATCATTTCTTCGTAAGATTTCGCATCTTCTCTTCGACGCTAGAGTAGAAAAATTTCATGAGCTTCAAAGGGCCTTAAATTACCTTGAGATAATTATCACAGTACCTGCGATAATACTTATCCACCTTAAGCACTTAGCGCTCATCGACTAGTATTCTGGAATTAACGAATCACCAGACGTCCTTCCGAGGTAAAAACAGCCAGCGGTTTCGTAATTGATGCGTCATCGTAATTGACTTAACGATCAGATTATGACGGGCGCGCGCTCCCCACCTCCCCCTTTCCCCTCCTTCCCCCTGCAACCCCCATGTAGAGCCGGGTAATAATAGTACAAAGTGGCCTGGATATATTACGAAACGGAAATGCATCCACACAGACACACACACGTACGCGTCTCGCGGTGCAGTTTTGTTTACGTTGCCGTTTAACGCGCGCACGCGGCCCGTCAGAGCGCGTAAAGCGGGCCGCGTGCGTGCGTGCGTGCGTGCGCTCGCGATTTTTAAGCCGCGCGCACGCGAGGTGTACGAGACGATCACGAGTAGGTACGCGCTCCTCGCGTGTACGTCGCGAAGTTTGGCCCTCGTGCTCGCCCTGCGTCTCTCACGCGCAATTCGCAATTTTGCAGTACCAGGCGAGGCTGAGGCTCCCGGACACGCTTTCACACTCGCAGAAGATGCAGTGCGTGGACCATATCATCGAGGTCCTCGACCTCGCGGCCTGCCAAGACACCAGTGAGTACGCGACGGCGCCCCCGTAAAGCCGGGAGATCGATGTCCGAGATGTGCGCGGGTGTTTTTAGACGCACGACGGGTGGCGCGATTCGGACTCGCGATCCGAAGATTTCACCCGATCGTATAATTCCCGGCCGGAGTCGTAAAGGCGCGTTTTGCACGCGTGCGTACGCGCTGTAAACAATCGCGGTCTTTTGCAAATGTTAGAAGCTATTCGTTATTCCTAGGATCTAAACGGCTCGCTCCAACTGGAAAGCTTCGCGTCTTTCTGCGATGTACGATGGAAATCGATTTAACCCCGATTTTCGCGGGTTTATGTTCGTTAAGAAAGAATACATGAGAAGCGAAGTCATCGCTTTCATATCATTGTCTTTCACTCAATCTTTTGATTGTTTAGATAAATTAAATGCGTTTATAATTCGAGATTAATCTCATCAAGCTTATCTATCAGGAAAACCATCTTAATCAATGACTATTATTAGAATTTCATTGTTTCCGGGAAACTGCAAATAACTATAAATACACAGAAAAAAATAAGTGTCAAATTAAAACTTATATACTTAAATTAACGCGTTCATTGTTTCGTATATACAACAATTTATAATCTTCTTAGAAGAATTTAATAATTTTAAATTTTAATAATATTATAGTCTTATTTTAATATTATAATTGTCATCTCAAGAATATATAATTATTTAATTCTACTTTAAGAAAATTATTTCTCTTCTATTCAAGAAAATTAAATTTTAAATCATAAGAATATATTTTTCTCGATTGAACTGTATAAAATGGCTTCATTCAAGTAAGCAATTATTCAAGCAATTATATTTTTCTTTAATTAACGCAATATAATCTCATTTCAAGATTTCCATATTAAAATTAAATATATGTTCAACACTTTTTTTCCGTGTATCGATAATTCTTTATTTGGTTTGATATAGAAATATGCAAATAATAGAAATTAATTACGTTAATCTCCGTTGTTGCAAGCAGTTTTTATCATGATCATAATTACTTGTCTAGTTTAGCATTTTAATTAACATTTTTCACGATCGAGTATATCAAATTATCGCACGAATAATCACGTATGCGCTAAACAACACACGGGCAAGGTGCAATATACATGCAAGCTTTATATTGTGAGATTTTCAAAATAATAATCCATGTTTCGTTAACGAAGAAATTTAATTCGATATTATTTTTTTAAATATTTAATCCATAAATTAAACTTTTAATCGACAAAAATAAAATTCACCTTTCGAGAGTCAGGGTAACTCTCTAAATTTTACTTTTTATAAATATCTTTTTTTATACGAATTAATTATTGAACTTGTTAGCATCTTATTATTCATGTTGAAATAAAAATCGATCGTGCGAATAAATCGCGAGAAATCCTACCCGCATAATGTTCCAGACGTGGATTTCGAGGCTATCCTGTATCGCTTCGCTCAGCTACGTCGAAGCTGAATGTAGCGGAAGCGCGGTGACATTTTCCGGAATACAAACGAGGGAAAGTACGGACGCGTATCTCTCTACGAAGTGCCGGACTCATTGTTGGCCGTTGATAAACTGTTTCCTCGATCGTTAACCCCCGAGCTTCGCGAACGCCTCGGCCGCGTGACGTAAAATATTGTACATACGCATACATACAGACATGTACACGCGCAATTATACGTACGTTTCTCTTTCTGTAACCCGAAGGCGTGAGCAACCGACGCCGACGATGAAGTTAATAATTTACCACGCGTCGGAGATCACGCGCCCGCGTCTCATTAGTTCCAGCTGGTGTTGGCAAATTCGAATATTGACACTGGAATATCGAACGCCAACGCTGCCGATTCGACGGGGAACCATTATTTTTATCGTGGATTTTTCACCGAAACCCCCGATGCTCGTAATTCTGTTATTCGCGAATGTAGAATCGTAAATACGACTTTGGCGGTTTTGTTCGATATATGCTACATATGTATCCTGAAAGAAAGGGTATTTAAAGGTATTTAAAGAATTTATGGGATACATATATGCTATAAATTATTTAAATGCCCTTGTTTTCTGCTTGGATAATTGTGCTTACATTTTTAATATCTCTCGCGTGATAAATTCCTATTTTTTATACCGGTATACATATAATATTATTTCCGAATTATTAGTTACATGGCTATGCAGATATTGTGACATGATAGTATAATTGTTGACATGATAGTATAATTGCATTACAAATTAGGAAATGATACATTAATTTCACACGGAAATATTTAAAACGCGATTATGCCTATGTATCTTTAATAGATATTATGAACGTTATTTTATATAAGAATTTTTTCTCGTAATATTTGATTATAATTTTTTTCGCTAATGTATATATACAGATTAATATGATATCTCTTTTGTATAGTTATTGGAGATTACACAAAGCGAGGACTTTCTGGTGGTGAAAAGAAGAGGACGAGTATAGCCTGTGAATTACTCACAAATCCATCATTAATGCTACTTGATGTAAGTTTTTTTACGTATATTTTTCTTCGTAAGGTGCATGTATTTTAAACTTACATTCATAATTAAAATTTAATAATATATTTATTACTAAATTAAAATAAATAATTAATTTTAGAAAAATTAATGTAATACGTTTGCGTAATATATACAATTATTTTTTTTATATATTTATTATGAAAATCTATCTTTATACATATTTTTTATCTTGTGTCGAATTTTGATTTATACGACAGTCTTAAGATCACAAATCTAACTTTAACACTAGAAAAGAATCTAACTTGTAAAATTTGTTCAATCCCTTCTGATAATCTATTTAAAATTCCACGTGGAGAAACTGTAAGATAGACGATTCTTAGAATGAAATATGTACTTGTGAAATTATAGATCTATAAATCTCATGATTTACATCGAAAAAGAATCAAAATATTCAACCAAAGATTTCCAAATTCAAGATTCTCCACTCACGATAAGAACGTAAATTATCAAACGAAAAATATGTAGAAACGTGAATGCGCAGAGAGCTAAAAATCCGTAGAACGAAAATGTATAAATTTAATGATTTAAAAAGAAGAAAAGTGTGAACACAAGTAAAGAGTTTAATATATGTTCGAAACAAAAGAGTATATATAGAAAAATTACTTAAGATATATTTTTGACATTGCGTAAATTAAATATAAAATAATATATTAAATAATAGAAGAAAGAGATATAAGTAACGTGAATTAATTTCTCATGAAAGATATAAATAACGTGAATTAATTTCTCATGAAAGTTTACTCAAAAGGAAAAATTATAAAAAACATTTCAATATTACATTTCAATATTATGTTCCCTAATTTATAAAATCTCTCATTGCATTTCAGGAACCCACGAGCGGACTCGACTCGCACTCGGCCCAGGCATTGATCTCGCGGTTAAAGAAGTATGCCGAGCAGGAGGGTAAGAGCATCGTGGTGACGGTACACCAACCTAGTTCCAGGATGTTCCATAGTTTCAGTAAGCTTCTCCTACTGAGTCGCGGTCAGATAGCATACTACGGTTCGACGACGAATGTCGGCAGATTCTTCCTTACGATAGGGCTTACGTTGCTGCCAAATTATAACCCCGCAGACTTTATTCGTAAGTACATTTCACTAATATCAAATCTGACTTTGAAATTTTATTCATGAATGTTATGATATTTGATAAATGTGATTGTCTTGCATTTTCATTTTTCTCTCAATTTCAACTTATGACCTTTAAATATAAATTCCTTATGCATATCACTGATGAAAAATATGTATGTCTAAGAGGAATATAGATACTGTCTAGGATAATAAGATTTCTGATAATCGTATGATTTTATATATGTATTTAATATTTATATTAATATTTTTAAGATTTATTTCATATTAATGTTTATACATATTTATTAATATTTGTATATTAATATTTATATAAATAGGATGCAAGTTAAATATAATATTTTTCGATATTACGAAAAATTTATTAAGACATATAAATAACATGAAATCATATGTTTACAATGTTCCAAAATATAAACATCACATTTCGTTTTTTAAATAAATGATTTCCGAATTATGCTTATGAACGAATATATGAGGGAAAGAGAGATTACAATTATACATTGATCTTTTGAAATAATTATTTCGTATTGACGGAATACATATAGTACTGCAGGGACTGGAACAGATGGCTGTTCCCGTGAAAATTCGCGAGATCACCTACATCTCACAGCGAAACATTGTACGAAACACTTGTTTTAGTGGAACAAATAAAGGGGCCGGAGGAAGTTCGAGAGCGCATCGTTGCCGCGGCGAGAACTGCAAGACAGGGACCTGACTGCCCACCGGAACTTCGTCCGGAGTATAATCCCAGCCAACATCCGCTCTGCGACCATCTCATCCAATACGAGCACATCAGCCACAACGGTATTATATAGTATGCAGCCGCCCCACGATATACGTATTTATATGTATGCACACCTAGACCTTCCTCCGACCGCAGGCGGATACCGTTGCGGTTCCAATGTACCCACTTAAAAACGCGTACTTGCAACGATCGAATATCTCGCGAACGCTGAATATATGCCCGCATTATAAATTGTCAAGACAAACAGTTTTAAGCTGATGTCTTTAGTCTTTAACTCACTACGCTGCAACAGACAACTCCTTGAGAATTATTGTTTTTTTTTTTTCATTCTTGAGATGGAATAAATACACATTGATAATTTAAAATTATTTCGCATTTTCTCTTTTCATGAGATATATATTAATAAAATAATGAACGAAGAAAAAGAAAAATATGATTATTTCAGGGACATCGAGATCAATTTTTAAACGAAAATAACATTTAATAAATTAAATTAAGTGAAATATTTTTATAATTATATTTAACATTAAACATAAATAGTCGTCAAAACTGCTAAAAATAAACAGAATATTTAGGACAATGTATGTAATTTCTCTTTAATCTTCCAATCTTTCGATCTCATTAAAAAATTACAAGATCAAAATTTTTTATACTTTATATATAACTGACATTTATTTGAGCGCTTGTTTCCGGTTTTTTTAGGTTTCTTAAATAATAATGTTATATGTTGTCCTCCTTAAAATCAGACATGATATAATAAAAGAGATCATTTAAAATCTAAAAGAACGACAAAAATAAATAATTCATTATAATAATATTTATGCACAATATTCAAACATTTTATTAATGAATTATGTAAACGAATTAAATCCGTTAGTTAAATATTTAAAAACATATATTGCAATAAAATAAACGAAAGAAATAATATGCACTTTAGAGAAATATTAGTGAAATAATTGTCACACAGAAATTTTTTCTCCTTTCATTTCTACCTACTCGTGTATTTATTGATTCAACGATGCAATTCTCACAAAGCTATCCTAAACACCCATTTCTCCGATGCTTTACAGTGAAGGAAGACGAAGGCCGTACGCTATGGTTGGATACACAAAGCCACGCCAGCAGCAGCGCGAGTTCTGCTGATGACGACTATTCCTGGCAATGGCCCACCAGCTTCTGGTCGCAGTTCAAAGTGAGTACGCTTTGAGAATGTTTTTCAGCAATTACCGGATACAATGCCATTCTACTCGCTTAAGCGTTCTTTAACCCTGCCCGATTATAGCGATTGATATATTATTCTGTAGGGAAAGGACAAAAAGTAATAAGTGCATAATGATACACATGTCAATATAAAAAGAAATATTAATGTTAATATAAATAGTCAAAAAGCCATCTTATTTACAGAAAGAAAAATGAAATCAATTATTTTTGTTAATTTTATTTTGGACTTGCAAAATTAAAAATGTATCATATCTATGTAATTAATATCAATTTATCTCAGATTAATTACCTTATTTTTTTATCTACGTTGTAAGAAAAAAAACAAGTAGAACAAATTATATCGATATTTTTTAATAAAATTATAATTATCTTAATAATGCAAACCTATTTTGATCTTCTATTATTTATTTCTTAAATCAATATTTGTGTAGTTGAAACACTTCATTTTTTATTTTGGTCCTTATTATATATCTGTAAAACAATAAGTTTGGACATTTCAAATAACATTGTTATAGAATTATGATATTTTCTAAAGTGATTTCTTTTGATACAGAAAAAAACACGTAGACTCATTCAGGCAGACATTATAAAATCATATTATGTACTGTGAAACACAAAGAATCGAATCAATATATTATGCGTTATTCGTCGAAGGCGTCATCGATTAATGAATGCAACCAGACTAATATCGGATTACTTATTCTCTCTCGCGGTGTAGGTGGATCGCGACGTTGCCGAGAGGGAGATGAGAAAAAGGAAAGAAAAAACGTGTGCATGATGTCGCGAGAAAGAAGACCGGCCGAGTGTGCGGAGAGGAGAATTAGGTCGCGTTTGCACGATTCACCATATCCGGATAATTACCGCGACCGGTATGTCCGTTCGTAATCGAATACGCGCGCGTCGTCACTTGCATCACTTTTACTTGCGAGCGGAACCGCGCTCGTTCTTCGTGGCTTACAGTAGCGATCCATCATTTCGAGAGTCCGTTCAAGGCTTAATACACTCTGTCAGCGATATTTATCTCATAGGAATATAAATTTCCCTTTGTTCGTTAATTAGCGAATATTTTAGCACGAGTAAGCTGATCCGAAAAATAGTCTTTCGTGATGCCCGAAACACCCCACATGTATCATAATTATTGTTCGAAGAGACCTTCGCAGCCGGCATTGTGAAACTTTGCGTTCCATTTTCTCACGGACGCTGATATAATCGAGGCGCGTTCCAAAAGTATCACCTGATGGCTCATTAACATCCCGAATATCGTGTAGTACCCAGAAAATTCCGTGCTAGAGCTTCAAGAAAGAAATGCAATAATAATAGCGATCTTCCTAACTCTTGAACTGTAAAATTTTCATATTATAAAGTTTCAATTTTGCATTACACTGGTTATTATACTTAATTTTAAACTTTTTATCAACAAATCTTGTACACTTTGTATATTATACACAGCAGTTTACAAAGTTTTATAATTGCAATATTATAAATACGTATTCATAACTACATATATACATACATAATTACATATATTTATTATAAATGAAACATGATCCTTAATATCGTGTAGAATCCAGCAAATTGCATGCTGGAGCTTTAAGAAAGAAATGCTAATAAACGATATGTTCCTAATTTTTGACTGAAAAACCTTCAAGTTACAAAGTTTCAATTTTGTACACGTGATACAATAAATGCATACTTATAATATATAATTACCACGTGGTTATTATAAATAGAGAACATAATCTTCAATATAAAATACTTGTTAAAGTAAAAAAATTGCCGTGCAATTTCCAAGTAAATTAATCGCTTCGCAAGAATCTTCGTCTATTTACACAAATGAAATATTGTGCTGTTTTCAGGTATTATCGGAAAGAAATTTTCAAGAAGCACGACCGCGGATGTTGTCGCGTTTGAATTGGTTGCAAACGGTAGCCCTAGGATTACTGGCCGGGCTTTTGTGGCTGGGACTTCCCAGAACTGAAGCAGCCCTTCACGATATTCAAGGGTGGATGTTCTTCAGCACCACATACTGGATGCTTTTTGCACATTTTGGAGCACTCTCTAGCTGTGAGTTGAATTTAATTTAATTCTCATTTGCGTAATTAAAATTCCGATTCAAAAAGGATCAAGTGCCCATTGTGGCGAGAAACTAGACTGATTATCTCGATTGAATATCTGCATTAATGTGATACTTGAATAAAACGCAATTAAATTTGTGGCAAACCAGCTAAATAAATTTTAGTGGCCAACTCTTAATGAAAATTATAATTATGTTATATTTTTCATATCAACAATATTAAAACATTTTTTTTTATTTGCGAATTCAACTCGAAGCGCATATTATATATTATTTAAAAGCTTTTTTTCTAGCTAAAGTTTATATTTTTTCTCAAAAATTTTTGATTAAATTTGACTCCAAAGAGAATTAATTCGAGACTTGGTTGCCCCAAAATATCTATTAAAAATTAAAAAGCTACAAGAAATGATAATCTACTTTGATATTCTTAAATTTTAATTTATCTATCTCATATGATTCTTGATATCATTGAGAGTTTACGCGATAGGCTAATAATATTTGCGGAAACGCAAATATATAAACGTCCAGCTTTGCTCGTGAAAGCATCACGCAAGCATGCAAAAGTAGATGAAACTGATAGGCTAATTGGACCACAACGTAACGTTCAATTAGCCATTCAATGAGGTTTACTTTTTATCGCAAAGATTTTCAAAGGATCAAAGAATGTTAGCATGTGGGACATACTATGACCTGCTACGTATCCGATAATGAAGGTCCTTAAACTTGCGCCTCTAATAGCTAGCATGTCAGAACGTGACAAACTCCCTGCAGGCATGTTGAGCCGACTTGATCGATAGAAGTTATTAACTAGAAGTTATTAACGAGTGTTAAAGTTGACGGGAGAAAGAGAAAGAATTAATAAGAGTAACAATAATTATACGATTCGTTAACGTAATTTTAAAACTATAATCTACTATCTACTATCTACTATCTAACTATCTATTAGATCTCTATTAGATCTCTTATCTAATTAGAGAGACGATATATATTTTATTATCTTGCTTTTAGTATTTTGCTATTATCAATAACTTGATCGTTTCTTTTAATTTGTAATTTTATATATCATCCCCTTTCTTTCTCAACAAATTATAAACTTTCAACATATTAAGAATTGAAAAATTGATTGAAAATAATGAAAATATTGCAAATTAATTTTACAAAATTAATATGAAAATGTTATATAAAATTTGAAGTTATAGTCTTATGTAAAATTCATTAAATTTAATATTAATTATTGAAAAATTTGATTAGAAAATTATTTTATTTATAAGACTTTTCATAATTAAAATATTAGTATCATGATTGCACTCTAGGTACAATCGTGCAACAGATACCTTTCATGTGCATCCAAAATTAAAAATAATAAAGAATAAAAATAAATAAATAAAACAATTAAAAATAAATTTCCTCAAAAAATTATCATATTTAGATGCTTTCACGATATATAATTTGTAACAATAACATTCATAAGATTCCCTTCCAAGTCATGAAATAGTACCAATCGCTCTCATTGCGAAGAAGAAGACGCCGATCTGTAAAATAACACAAAATGAAACATTGGGAGAAAAACACGCGCACATTTGTTATCATCTGTCACGACGGCTCGCGTAATTTATGAATGCTCCGAGAAGGAGCACGTAACACGCGGATTGCGATCGCTTTATAGTCTCTTATCCCGCGGGAAGCGAAAGCGTTAGAGCGCGCGGCGCGCTCCTGACGAGCTGTAAAACCGATTTTAGCATCACCTCCGGCCTGCCGTAAGCGGCTCTTCACGGTGCCTTCCCCTCCGCCCCTCTCGTGCGGGGATAATTCTGAAAATAACGCGCACGGGACGATGACGATTTTCCAGTTCCCCCGGAGCGCGAGGTGATCAACAAGGAGCGCCTGTCAGGATCCTATCGGCTCTCGGCCTATTACCTAGCGAAGATGGTCGGCGAGCTGCCGCTGACGATAACGCTGCCCGCAGTCTACCATATAATTAGTTATCCGATGTTGGGCTTCCACAATCTGGCCGTCTTCGTCACGTTGCTCGCGTTCTTACTGCTCAACACCGTGGTCGCGCAGGTACGTATTTGTCCGCCTCGCTGATGCTTAATCCGCAGGATGTAATATCGATCTTTGTGATCGTATCTTCGAGATCATCATCTGAGCAACGTCTAAAAAAGTACCATTTATATTTTATAATAAAAAGATCTCGCTTTTGTTCTCTTTTTTTTTTTGTTCGGAGAGTTTAGAGTTAAATATATCGAAATCAAGAATCTCTTGAACTTTTTTTAATCTTCACGTTTTTTTTTTCACGTGAGTGATAATTGAAAAAATCAACATGGTATTCAATCAGAACGATGAAGAAATCGTATTACGTCCTGAGAATAAACTGTACGGATATTGGAGAGATAGTAATCGATATACGTTTGCGAAATTCTATTCACACAATATCCAATATCAGAGTATCATTCGAATCGATGCGCACGAATATTGGTATTGTCATATTGGAGGCGATAGAAATGAAAAATTCGATGTAGGCCAATCCTCTTGAGTATAATTATCTTGGAATGACATAAATTTTTGCATTTTCTATATATTTTTGAATCTCAGAAATATTTATAATCTGTTGTTTCAATATGATTAGGCAGAGTATTGCTATTAAATTAATTAAAAAAAAATCTGTTATTTTAAATCATGTTTGTTTTCAAGTTTTATATATAAAATTACTTTTATACATAATTTTTTTATTAGTATTCTATATACAGTTTGTTCTGTATATTATTGCGTCTATAACCAATTCTGTTTTCTTATTTTTATAAAAAAAGAGAAAGAAAAATAGAAAGAGAAATCTGCTTATATTAACTAATATATATTTAACAAAAACAAATTTTATTTTCACATCTAAAGTCAAACATTCAAACTTAGAAAATCTGTCGGTTGCAATATTTAGCAAAAAAATTGATATAAAAAATTTCTATAAAATCTGAAATCTACATACATAATCATAAATATAAAATATCTGCTCTTCACGGTGGAATAGACATTTCATTTAAAGAAATTCGTAACAATCTTATATGAGCGTATAACCATATAAGCGTATGTATAATTATTCTTTATGCTATTGAATAATATAAACAGAGTTTTTTCAAAAACTACTGAAATTCGAAACTCGTACTAAAAATTGCAAGAGCAAATCACTAAAAGATTTATTTTCTTAATTTATTGATCTTCCACACGCTTCCAAAGTTGACATTTAAAGTTGGAACACTCTAGATATTGACTGTTCCTGAAAGCTATCGATCTGGCTAACATGAATTACTACTCTCCCATTTGATATTCGTAGCAAGCCGATTTTGTTACACTTAAGTGTTTAATTTTTCAACTTCTGTTTGCTTTGCAGAGCGTTGGATTTTTCGTGGGCGCTTGCTGCCTGGACCTGCAGGTGAGCATCACCGCGTCCGCGCTTTACACGCTGGCAACGCAACTTTTGGGCGGTTATTTGGCGACGTCGGTTCCACCATGGTTAGCATGGGCCAGATACGTCAGCATGGTGCATTACGCTTATCAGAACATGCAGATTCTCGAGTTCGGCGTCGGCGAACCGATCACGTAAGATATTTTTCGTTTATTGCCATCCGATTATCGTCAAAGTTTTGGACAAACGCAGACTGTAAAATTAATTTAAAAATTCTCTTTTTGATGAAAATATCAATGAAATATAATTTATAATTGAGTGGAACAAATTTGAGAACACAATGATTTATGTACGATATGTGTAATTTCTGAAAACAATTTTATGTTTTTTTTCTCAAGAATATTATATTGAAAATATTTTGACGAACGCAAAAAAATTAAAAAGAAAAATCGATGAAAATAGAATCATACAATGTATGAATTATTAAATTTTAATTGTGCGTCGACCAAATTGCTTTGTTCTAACAGATCGTGTTGCTATTATTAAATATATAATATGCCAAAAATGTACATAAAAGTGAAATGTAAGATTCATGTGTGTCAAACAACGGCGTACTGATAACGCATAATTTTTTGCATGACAGATGCTCGCAGCCGAGTAAATTCGCCGAGTGCAGAAACAGTACGACGATACCTGTGTCTGCGATTCTGGAAAGTCAAGGCGGGGTCAGAGGCTCCGGTCTACCACTTTGGGCGAATACGGCAGTGCTGATGGCCTTTCTGATCGTTTTCCGAACCTTGGGCTATCTTGTCCTGCGTTACTATCGTGTACCAAAATGAGCGTGTCGGGAGCCACGCAAGTAGCACGCAAATTCTCCACGCTATTCTCGCGAATCTTCAGTTTTATTATTATAGAAATATATATACATATATGTATATAGTTGTGTGCCATGTGTCTTGCTTTTATCGGGAATATAACGGCCGTATATTTCGATATCCTCTCTCGCCTCTTCAGAATTCTCTCATCGATCTGTCGAATGTCTATAAAGGTTTTTCTATCTGCCTCGTAAACGCGAGGGAGCGATGCGAATGTACGAGCATTTTTATTTTCCCTAATGGACACGTATCGAACATCACGCGACATAGAATGCGAGGTTGCGAAAGATTTGGCCAGAACTATATATATATATACATATAAATTATATTATATATGTGACTCTACACCACAATAAGAAGGGTGTGTATGTGATATGACAGAGAGACGTGCCAGCGCGTGCGCACAAATGTGAGATAGCGTGAATGAATGTGGGAGATGATCGTTGTTTGCGGCAAGAAGGGTATAATAGTAGAGAGAAATTTCGGCGCGGTGTCGCGCCGCGAAACCGACTGAAAATTTGTACGTTGGCGATGAATCTTTATACATATACATATATATATATATACATATATATATATACATATATATATATATATATATATATATATATATATACACACACATTAACGTATACGTATTATGCGTATACATACGTCAAACGATAGGATTAGATTCTTAAACCGTATTAAACATAAGCGATACCTATCACTTCTTATTTTTACTTTTATTACCGCCACAATTGTGCTACGTTAATGTTCGTTGATATCGGTAGGAGTTGTGTGTACTGCTACTGTTATTATCATTACTTACTATCTTTACTATCGAGAGACGTAATTATAGGAGATAGATGAAGGATTATGCTGCTAATTCTAAAGTTGACAAGAGAAAGACGAGAAACACACACACATACACATATACAGGATGTTTCATGTTAATTTCCTCAGGCAAATAATATTTAAATATTTCGGAAAATAATGAAAATTTGAAAAAATGTTTTAGACAAAAGTTGTGTGGTTTCGAGGAGGATATAAGATGGTGCCATTAGTTTAATCTTGAAGAGTCACCTAAAGGTCGTGTGAAGGTTAACCTTCAATTTTTTAAACGGAACCGCTTACTTTTTATTGCATATTCTTGCAGCTCATCTCGAGAGCTTTGTAAAACACTATAATATAATTAAGTTAGTTTTCATTAAATATATTTTCCGAGTTATGAGGCTTGAAATCATTTCTTAATTTTACATAAACCGTAAAATATCTAGCAAGATATTCATTTTTCGATTATCTTACCTTAATACTTACCTTAGTACTTTTGCATGCACAAAATAATAAGAGAAATCGATTGATGTAAAGAAAAAAACAGTTGTTTCTAAGAAAAAATATGTAAATTACAATTAACAATTACATATACAATTACATATTTTTTCTTAAAAATAACTATGTGTTTTCTTTACATCATTTGATTCCTCTCATTATTTTGTACATAAATGTATTAAGGTATAAGATCGAAAAATGAATATCTTGCTAGATACAGTTTATGTAAAATTAAGAAATATTTTCATAACTCGGAAAGTACTTAATGAAAACTTAATTGTAGTATTTTGGAAAGCTCTCGAGATGAGCTGCAAGAATATGCAATAAAAATAAGCGGTTCCATTAAAAAAATTGAAGGTGACCTCTTCACGCGACCTTTAAGTGACTCTTCAAGATCAAACTAATGGCACCATCTTATGTCCCCCTTGAAACCATACTACTTTTATCTGAAACATTTTTTCGAATTTTTATTATTTTCCGAAATATTTGCTTGGGGAAATTAAAATGAAACACCCTGTATATATACACATACATACATATATATACATATATACATACATATATATGCATATATATATATATATAGATATAGATATCAATATTGTTCTCAATGACTCGTATCTCGCATGGAGTACGCGTGTGCTATTCGCGCGAAGCGATAATTTCGAAAAGTTTTACACGCGTCACACCCCGCGACGAACAGGGTGGCGAAGAGAAAAGACCTTTTACGTCGATTATAAAATCTGTTTGGATTTCTGCGATATATCTTCGTGATATTGCTCGGACGCGTTGCGAGAATGGGGATCCAAAAAATTAACGAGCGGTGTAATATTCATTGTTTACTTTGTACATAGAGAGGGAAGAGCGAGAGAAAGAAAGAAAGAATTCTACGTATGTATATATCGGAATGAAATATACACATTTCAATCATATACATACATACACGAACACACTTACGTACGCATATACATTTAATGATAATGATAGTAATAATAACGATATGCTAAGTATTATTATTCCAATTATTATTACTATTATTATCGCGCAATGATTATTCTGGTTAGATTAATTTTTATTATTATTCTCTCGCATGTACATTTGTAACGGACTGAATGAGACGCGATGTATTTTTTGTACATGCACATGAAAGGGGCGATACATTATGCTGGAAGAGTGGGAGGGGGAAGGGAAGAATCGCATTATAAGATTATATTTCGCGTGAATCCATTTCGTTAATAATATTAATATCGTGGCGTGTTGTTATACTCCTTTCCTCTCCCGAGTTACACAGTCACGGAAAGCTAGTGTTTGTTACATAAGATAAATAGATTAGATTATTGCAGTTATACCATGCGGAGGAAATGTATATCTATCTGCGATTAAAACGCATGTCAGCCAATCAGCGGTGTAATAATATTGTAAGGAACAGTGAACTGGACGACTCCAGTGGCCAAGTAGGATCGCCGCAAGTATGGTGAATCTCTGATTTTAAATCAAGCTTTACGAACACAGAATCAATGCATATCTTTTACGCGCGTACGAACGCGCGTTGTCTACAATCTCGATAGCTCGCTTTCATTATTCGGTAATCATCGCCGACCCCTTTACAATAACGATAAATCAGTTAGTCAGGAGAATGAACGTTGGAAAGCCGCATTCGCCAAACAACTCCGCGCGAATCGCGATCTTGGAGAATCGTCCAGTACACCAATAAGCGCAATATCCACCAAGTGTTCATTGAGTTTGGTAAACGAGGCGGCAAGTGAGCAAAGAGAACGGGAAGGGAGGACTCGTACGACGAGGATTATTGCTTCCTAATCACGTGAGGACAGAGGAACACGAAGAGGAGAGAGAAGTCAGGGACACGAAAGCAACGTCAAGATAAAATATCGAGATTAATTGAGTCGGTTTAAGATAAAGTGCTCTCCGCAAAGTATGATACAGGGGCCGCTGTACATATTAGACAATTGGCCGCGAATAAATGGAAAATTATTAAGGAAATATAGGAAATTCGATAAGAATTGTTTTGCTCGTCAAACTTTAAATAACTGTCTTAAATATTTTTCATCATTTTCAATTGTCGCGTGTTATTATGAATTATATTCGAAAATTAAGCAAGATTTTGCCGAATAGTTGCGGTGATTACTATAAATCTTAAACTGGCTCTGGCAACGAACAACATCACATATTCTAGAGGAGCAACAGAGAGATAATGCAACTGTAATAAACAAAGATTTGGCTGTGTCAATGTCCATAACGTCTGAATTGATTTGTACATATCGTTTCTTCTTTTATGCTTTTAACATCTGAATCGAAAGCTCTCAATAAAAAGTGAAAGAAAGCGCGAGAGTATCCAGGATAGAGTGAGATATTGCGAATGAATTAAGATAGGAAAATGAATAAGAAGGAAAGGGCTTTATACTCATATTTTTATTGCACATTTAACGTTAAATGATAACTAAATGAAAAAGTTTTATTCTTAAAATAACTTCCATGCGCGTTCCATGTGAACCCAGTAGTTATTACATCTCACGTTAAATTTGTGGTAAAATGAGTTTTATTGTTGTAGCGATAAAGAAGAGACGTTATTTCGAAGCCGTACGTCGTTCATCGATCGTGCGAAGGATAGACGGACATGCATACAATTCCATATATTTTCGATTGCTAACGTGTGCGCGAAAAAATTGGAGATTCATCTGATTTCTATTCTCAACTAAACATTAAATATGAACAAAAGTCGAGCGAATATACAAACGATACCGCTTTTATAGACGTTGGCGGTGATAACCATTTTTTAAGAATGCCTGAATCTGAGAATGCAGATGCGCATCGAAGGTGCAAAAGCGAAGATTTCTTCTCTTTGACTCCTCCGACGCTGTTCTATCCGTACGCAGGAAACGCACTTTTTGATGATCATGTAGATGTCTTTTCAAAATTTTGATATCCATATATATACTATTACTATACAATGTACACCACTGACGGTTAATAATCCGCGCGACTGGACATTTGTATGCGTTTACAACTTTAGCAGCGAGCTCGGACTAATTGATTATTCACACACGGAACCGTAGACGTGCACGACTCATTTTTTGCAGAAAATGTTGGACGGAATGCTTCGTCTCGTTAATGCGCGACAAGAGCGTGTATTTAAACCAACGGAATTAAAATGTGCGTTGGTGTATCATCGTCTTTTCATGCGGACCAGAATAGATAATTGCGAGGCAACCTAACGATTATCTTCTATATAGCTGTTTAGAAGAGATGTAGACCAGTAGCGACAATTAGGAAGGAAAACAATTCTTTTCTACAATAGAAATTTTATTTCAAAAATAAATCAGGATCATAAAATTCTTTTATAAGCTTTTCTCATTATTCTTATGATTGTTTTAATAATTATTTTATGATTCCTTTTATGATTATTTTAATAACTATTTTAATGTAATTTAGATTTTATCAAAAAGTTGATATTAATAAATTAATAAAATATAATATCTACATAATTAAAATGTTTAAGTTTTACATTAAAATAGGAGCTGGCACATTCAATTTTTGTCTAACTAAAATATGTTTTAGATTATTCGAAAAATAACAATTTCGATATTTCTATGACATATAACGTCAATTTTTAAATATAAATCCTATAAAGTTGCTACTGTTATACATTTTTTAAAACATCTGTATAATCCTTTATACAATAATGAAATATTACGAAAGTAAAAAGCACGAGAAGCATTTTTGATTATTCGTCAGATTGGCGAATGGATATTACGATAGCTGTAGGATGCGTATGAAATTGATCGTAATTTATAGTAAAGCTACACTATCTTTTTCCGCGAATCTTTCTCATTTCATAATCACACATGTCATCATCTTTCTCATCTCAACATGATATCCACGCGTATTTCATTCTTCTCGTCGCAAATGATTCGCACAATTCAGACTTCGAAATATGCAAAAATGTACACATGCTTTTGCAGTAAAACTCTATAAGACTGACAATGTTTTTATATGATTATAAAATAAACGGCAGGATGAAAAAGAAGAATTTCTCAAATTAAATTGCGTTTACATATTTGTAAGATCGTGTGATATGCCATGAAATTGTAGATTACGAGATTATTTCCTTTTCGACATATGGAGAGGAAGAGATTAAAATTTCAAATATTCACACAGCCAAACTTTTCTAAGAGAGCACGACGCCGCTTCGGCTTCGAAA